AAAATAGACCATAAAGCAGGTATGCTTTGGGGCGGGGCTACCTTGTGATTGACAGTGCAGTGACAATTTCTCACCTAAAACCTTTTCAGAAACATATTTTCATGTGGTTGTGAAAACTGGGCAAAACGCGCAAAACTGGGACCAGTTCCATGATACCTAAGTTTACAGTACAAGCTGTGATGTTTAACATCAACACATGATGGAACTCACAAATAGTGTACAAAGTTAATAACAAATATACTGTAACTATGTAAAATTATCTATAATTCCATGTGATTATCAACATGTTCAGGCTGGATGTGCACAAAGCTGCCATGTGACTGGAGCACAAGGACTTGTGGGACACAGCAAAGAACACAGGGCTTGTGTTCTTCAAAATAAATTAAAAGAATGCGGTAAGACTGCTTGTTGGAGGACTGTGTTAAAATGGGACAGACAGCTGGCCTGTTGTGACGTTTTCAGGGTATAAATGACACGTATCCCATTTTCACAGTGAACAGGTAAGGGTGTATTGTTTTGATGAAGGCCGCTTTGACCTGACATGTGAGAGACACATGTTTACTGTTGATGCGATTGACCTTGCAACTGTTTGGCATGATGTCTCCTGTCCACTCTGCTGTCACGTCACAGATGTCCAAAAGCTTAACAATAACAATATCTGAGCCTTCAAACTGAGCCCCGCATTACTTCACCTCTTTTGTACAGTGCAGTACAGTCTTGGTACACTTTCAAAATCTCACAAGGAAGTAAGTGTTATCAGCGATCAATATATTGCATTTGCCATGTATCTTTTGGTTGTGTAATATGTATTTATCTACCACATTTTAAATGATTAATTTAGATGGAGAAATACATTTTCTAGTTTGTTTTGATTTCGACTGTTCTTTTCTCTGACTCCATCTCCTGCTTGGGAAGGGGAAACTCTTGTGACCTTACCCTCATCAATGCCCCTTTTTTTTTTAAGCTGGAGCGACTTCTTTTCTCTTGCTCCATTTTCGCTCCAGTATATCAGAATCGCACCGGTTAACAAGCGAATTCTGCTGCTCTGCTCATTCCTAATCACACAGACAGCTGATCTTTCTAATTACTTCATGAATTGTGTGTTCATGGATAAGTGGGGTGTTGCTTCTTCTGCAACAATGAAGTTAAAAGGATCTGCAGGGAGGGGCTTTTCTCTTGCTGCCTGTGTGTGTCTTATCCGTGATTCCCCAGTGTGAGCTTTATCACACATCCTAAACAGCGAAAATTAAAAAAACAACGCAGCTTTTTAAAATCTTTTGGAGCGGTTTTAGTGGAGTGGGGTGTAATCTGAGTTGAGCAAGGAACAAAATATTTAATGGAAACAACAAAATTCATTTTCTTTTTTACAGTTGCTTGAGGTGGTTTCAAAAAGAGTAAATGCGCTACACTATTCCCGAGTAAGTTCTGACAGTGAACATTTAACTCATATGGCCGATAAACTGTTTCTGCTTAATCTCCTTCCACGGCTGTCATCCGTAGCAGGAAACAATCTCATATTACAGATAAACAGTAAAATATGTTTGTGAAATGATTTTAAATGACAAATAGTAAACACAATAACAGAATCTGGATCCATATCTGATCAGCACAGTTTGACAGTTTGATCTGAGTTTGGTGCGTTGAGCTGGACGGACTCACTGAGAATGAGCTGTCAATCACAAGGTAGCCATGCCC